GACCTGGACTAGAGGCCTGGACTAGACCTGGACTAGACCTGGACAACAGGCCCGGACTACACCTGGACTAGACCTGGACTAGACCTGGACTACACCTGGACTAGACCTGGACTAGACCTGGACTGGATCTGAACTGTACCTGAACTGGACCTGGACTGGACTAGACCAAGACTAGACCTGGACTATCTGAACTGGACCTGGACTGGACCTGGTCTGGACCTAGTTTAGACCTGGACTAGTTCTGGTTTAATCCTGGTTTAGTCTTGATTCAGTTTTGGTTTAGTCCTGGTTTAATCCCGGTTTAGTCCTGGTTGAGACCTTGTTTAAACCTGGTTTAGTCCTGGTTTAATCCTGGTTTAGTCCTGGTTTAGTCCTGGTTTAGACCTGGTTTAGTCCTGGTTTAGACTTGGTTTAGTCCGGGTTTAGACTTGGTTTAATCCTGGTTTAGACCTGGTTTAGTCCTGATTCAGTCTTGGTTTAGTCCTGTTTAGTCCTGATTCAGTCTTGGTTTAGTCCTGTTTTAGACCTGGTTTAGTTCTGGTTTAGTCCTGGTTTTTCCACTTTTGTTTTGTTCAGACTTGACTTCAGACCTGGCCCTGGCCCTGGCCCTGGTCTGGTTCATGTGATGTTCCAGAGTGGAGCTTTAATAGAAACAGTGTGTTGTTGAGGAGTTTGTGAGCTCAGTGAGGACACGCTCTGACTCAGACTCACTTCCTTTAAACTCTGAGTCTCTAATCAGAACTTTCCCTGTTTACACAAAACCAGGATCAAATCTGAACTGAACACAAGACTGAGTCACGGTGTTATCAGGATCTGTGTCATTGGCTCATGGGCACCAATCAGAGCGCGGCGTGGAGCGTTCGGACCAATCAGAGCAAGAGGTGAATCGTTTGAGGTGAACTGTTTGCGGTGAATCGTTTGAGATGAATCGTTTGCGCTGAATCGTTTGAGGTGAATCGTTTGTGGTGAATCGTTTGAGATGAATCATTTGAGGTGAATCGTCTGAGGTGAATCGTTTGAGGTGAATCGTTTGAGATGAATCGTTTGAGGTGAATCGTCTGAGGTGAATCGTTTGAGGTGAATCGTCTGAGGTGAATCGTTTGCAGTGAATCGTTTGAGGTGAATCGTTTGAGGTGAATCACTTGAGGTGAATCGTTTGAGATGAATCGTTTGCGGTGAATCGTTTGAGGTGAATCGTCTGAGGTGAATCGTTTGAGGTGAATCGTTTGAGATGAATCGTTTGAGGTGAATCGTCTGAGGTGAATCGTTTGAGGTGAATCGTTTGAGATGAATCGTTTGAGGTGAATCGTTTGCTCTTCGTCTGAACCTGGAGACATGAAAACACGGAGTCTGTGCGTTATGTAACAGAGAGAGAGAGAGAAAAGAGAGGGGGAGGGGGGTGGAGGAAAGAGAAAGAGAGACGAGGCAGAGGGAGAAAGAGAGGAGGGGAGATGAAGAGAGAGAGAAGAGGAAAGAGGGAGGGGAAGAGAGAGAAAGAGGAAAAAGAAGGAGGGAGGGATAAGAGAAAGGAGATAGAAAGAGGAGGGGAGATGAAGGAAGGGAGGAAGCAAAAGAGAAGAAGCGAGAGGCGAGGAAGGAGCGTAGACGACGGAGGGAGAGTGAGAAAGACGGAGAGAAACGAGGGACGGAGGGATGGAGAGAGAGAGAGAGGTGGTTACCCCGGGAAACCCTCCTGTCTCCAGATGAAAAGTGCAGATTAAAAAAAAAAATAAACAAAACAACAAAACACTGGAACATTTTCTCTACACGACTCCGACTTCAGAAACAAAAAACAAAACAAAACAAAAACACTTTAAAAATCATTATTTATCAAAACAACAAAAACACAGAAACATTTTAACTGGAGAAATTTGAACAACTTGGCAAATCTACTTAAAGAAATTCAACAATAACTTCATTTTACCACAAGTTACACAGAAGCAGCAGCAGTAGTAGTAGTAGTAGTAGTAGGGCTGGGTATCATTAAGAAGTTGCCGATACGATACACACCTCGATACACAGGCCACGATACGATACACGCCTCGATACACAGGCCACGATACGATACACGCCTCGATACACAGGCCACGATACGATACACATCTCGATACACAGGCCACGATACGATAAACACTTCGATACACAGGCCACGATACGATACACACCTCGATACACAGGCCACGATACGATAAACACCTCGATACACAGGCCACGATACGATACACACCTCGATACACAGGCCACGATACGATACACACCTCGATACACAGGCCACGATACGATACACACCTCGATACACAGGCCACGATACGATACACACACTCGATACACAGGCCACGATACGATACACACTTCGATACACAGGCCACGATACGATACACACCTCGATACACAGGCCACGATACGATACATACCTCGATACACAGGCCACGATACGATAAACACTCGATACACAGGCACGATACGATACACACCGATACACAGGCCACGATACGATACACATCTCGATACACAGGCCACGATACGATACATATACTCGATACACAGGCCACGATACGATACACATCTCGATACATAGGCCACGATACGATACACACCTCGATACACAGGCACACGATACGATACACACCTCGATACACAGGCCACGATACGATACACACCTCGATACACAGGCCACGATACGATACACATTTCGATACACAGGCCACGATACGATACACACCTCGATACACAGGCCACGATACGATACACACCTCGATACACAGGCCACGATACGATACACATCTCGATACACAGGCCACGATACGATACATATCTCGATACAGTGCACTTTCAATTCGATATGATATAAAAAATAAAGTCTAAATCGTGTCTTTGTTAAACGATTTCTTCTTGTGCAAAGTTCATACGAAACACAAACATTTAAATCCTCAAAACAGTAAAAATGTCAAATGTGTCGCATAAATGAGTTTCCTTTTACTCCACAAGCAACAAAACTGTAGCTGTAACAAAATAATTTAGTAAAACACACTTAAAAATACTCTTGGTGATAGATCGATACTGTATCATCACATTAAACGATGTGCATTAATACGATATATCGATATTCCGATATTTTTGCACAGCCCTAAGTAATAGTAGTAGTAACAATAGTCAATTTTAAGAGTATTTTAAGAGTATTTTGTTGTTACATTTGTTCTATAAAATGATATCGAAATGAAACGAGCTCTTATATCGATGGAAATGAACAAATGTGATTAAATCTGAGCTTCGTTTCTTTCAAACACAAACAAAATTAAAAATAAAACACAAATAGAAACACAAACACACAATGGGAATGATGAGGAGAGGAAATGGAGGTAATAACAGGTCTGGGGGAGAAGCGCTGGTAAACACCGAGGAGCTAACGAGGCCTAAAAGACGCGCGCGTGACGGTTTGATCTCATTTTATCCACACAAAAAAAAAAAAACAAACAAAAAAAAACGATCCTGTTTTTGTTTTTCTTTTTAATAAACGCGTTAATGTCCCGTGAGGCTGAAGCTGCGTGAATCAGACTCCGCCACAGGTGAAGCTGCGGGCGCCTGGAGCTTTTCTGGAAGTGTGGACAGAAAAAAAGCACCGACAGCCCCGAGTCCCGAGTCCCCGAGCCGCGGTGAGGCCCGGAGCCGCGGACACACTCACCGTACGTGGGGTCCGCCGCCGCCGCCCGGAGGAAGCGCAGGGCGGCGGGGAGCAGCAGGAGCAGGTGGAGCGGGCGGAGAGGAGCCATGGCCGCGCGTCAAAAAACCCACTGGAACCGAACAGACACCGCGCTACAAGGCCATGGTCCGCGCGCGCGAAGAGGAGCCGCCAAAGGAGCCGCCAAAGGAGCCGCCGAGGAGCCGCGGAAGGGTCCCGGGGCTGGAGGAGGATGTAGGCGGGGAGGAGACAGCGGAGGAGGAGAGAGGATGGAGCCGAGCGGAGGCGGCGGGGCGCGGGGACGATGGGCGTGATCTGCCGCTCCAGCAGCTGCGCGGCGGAAACAGCGCGCGCACTTTCACAATAAAACACGAACGGCGCGGACAGTTTCAAAGTAAAACACGACATGAACAGAATCTGCACCAACGAAAGATAAAAGAACATTTATATAAAACATTAAACATTTCAGAGTTTTATTTGTTTTTTATTCTGATTTTAAATAATTCTAAAAATGCAGATTATATTTAAAGATAAATGTAAAACACAGTGTAGTGGAGTAACAGATTACATGTACTGGAGTAATCAGAGTACAAATGATGAGTAACTGTATTCAGTTACAGTTACTGTTTCAGTGAGTGGTAATTGGATTACAGTTACTTTACTGAAATAAATGGATTACATGGTGCCATTTTCCTGTTTTCACATTTTGGGCTATATCACTTTTTTTTTTTTTTTTTTTCCTCGGTAATTCTACTTATTGAATCTAAACCAGGACTAAACCAGGACTAAACCAGGACTAAACCAGGACTAAAACAAGACTAAATCAGGACTAAACCAGGACTAAATCAGAACTAAGCCAGAACTAAACCAGAACTAAACCAGGACTAACAAGACTAAAGGGGGTCTAAACAAAGACTAAACCAGGACTAAAACAAGACTAAACCAGGTCTAAACCAGGACTAAAACAAGGACTAAACCAGGACTAAACCAGGACTAAACCAGGACTAAACCAGGACTAAACCAGGTCTAAACCAGGACTAAACCAGAACTAAACCAGGACTAAACCAGGACTAAACCAGAACTAAACCAGGACTAAAACCAGGTCTAAACCAGGTCTAAACCAGGACTAAACCAGGACTAAACCAGGTCTAAACCAGGTCTAAACCCAGGACTAAACCAGGACTAAACCAGGTCTAAAACCAGGGACTAAACCAGGACTAAACCAGGTCTAAACCAGGACTAACAAAAACCACAAAAGTCCAGGTTTTGTTTTTGAGGAGGAAGCGACGTCAGGACCTGATTTAAACGTCACAGGAGTCAGATTTGTGTCATTTTAAAACCTTTAAAAACACACTTTTTTCTTGTTTTAGTTTTTTTTGCAGTTTGAGAATAAAGAGACACAGAGTGAAGTTGCGTAGCTGAACAAAGCTCTTTTAATGAAAATACAATGAAAATACAATTCAAATAAAGAGGTGCAGTGACGGGACAGTGGAATTCCTCTGGGTTTGTCAGTTTAAGGCACGAGTTGAACAGAAGCGTCGTCCCAGAGGCGAAGCGGCGACACAAACACCACTTCACACACACAGACCTTTACACACACAGACCTTTACACATTTATATCACCACACGTTATTCCACTTGGATTTTTATTACGTTTCATCTTTATGAAGCTCCACGTCCCGAGAATCTGCCCACGACGAGACTCAGGACGAGACCGAGATCAGGATTTAAACAAACAAACAAACAAACAAACAAAGAGTCTGATGTTTGGACAAAAACTGAAGAAACTGAAGTGGAATAAAAATCTGAGTCGTTACGAGAAACAAGATGTTTAAAAACAATAAAAGGTGTTTAAAGCAACGAAGAGCCAAAACATTATGACCACTTTAAAACACGACTGAACCAGGTCTAAACCAAGACTAAACCAAGACTAAACCAGGACTAAACCAGGACTAAACCAGGTCTAAACCAGGTCTAAACCAGGACTAAACCAGGACTAAACCAGGACTAAACCAGGTCTAAACCAGGACTAAACCAGGACTAAACCAGGACTAAACCAAGGTCTAAACCAGGACAAGGACTAAACCAGGACTAAACCAGGTCTAAACCAGGACTAAACCAGGACTAAACCAGGACTAAACCAGGTCTAAACCAGGTCTAAACAAGACTAAACCAGGACTAAACCAGGACTAAACCAGGTCTAAACCAGGTCTAAACCAGGACTAAACCAGGACTAAACCAGGACTAAACCAGGTCTAAACCAGGACTAAACCAGGTCTAAACCAGGACTAAACCAGGTCTAAACCAGGACTAAACCAGGACTAAACCAGGACTAAACCAGGACTCTAAACCAGGACTAAACCAGGTCTAAACAGGTCTAAACCAGGACTAAACCAGGACTAAACCAGGTCTAAACCAGGACTAAACCAGGACTAAACCAGGACTAAACCAGGACTAAACCAGGACTAAACCAGGACTAAACCAGAACTAAATCAGGACTCTAAACCAGGTCTAAACCAGATCTAAATCAGGTCTAACCCAAGCGTAAACAAGGACTAAACCAGGACTAAACCAGGTCTAAACCAGGGGTCTAAACAAGGTCTAAACCAGGACTAAACCAGGACTAAACCAGGTCTAAACTAAATCTAAAAGATGTAAAACAAAGGTTTTATCCAAGACTAAAACTGGTCTAAGATACAGTAGGTCCAAGATAAGTCCAACCCAAAACTAAACCTGGTCTAGGCCAAGTCTAAACCAGGTCTAAACCAGGTCTAGACCACGTCTAAACCAGGTCTAAACAAGTCTAAACCAGGTCTAAACCAGACCAGGTCTAAACCACTAAACCAGGTCTAAACCAGGTCTAAACCAGGAACTAAACCAAGGTCTAAACCAGGACTAAAACCAGGACTAAACCAGGTCTAAACCAGGACTAAACCAGGTCTAAACCAGGACTAAACCAGGTCTAAACCAGGTCTAAACCAGGTCTAAACCAGGTCTAAACCAGGTCTAAACCAGGACTAACAAAAAACCACAAAAGTCCAGGTTTGTTTTTGAGGAGGAAGCGACGTCAGGACCTGATTTAAACGTCACAGGAGTCAGATTTGTGTCATTTTAAAACCTTTAAAAACACACTTTTTTCTTGTTTTAGTTTTTTTTGCAGTTTGAGAATAAAGAGACACAGAGTGAAGTTGCGTAGCTGAACAAAGCTCTTTTAATGAAAATACAATGAAAATACAATTCAAATAAAGAGGTGCAGTGACGGGACAGTGGAATTCCTCTGGGTTTGTCAGTTTAAGGCACGAGTTGAACAGAAGCGTCGTCCCAGAGGCGAAGCGGCGACACAAACACCACTTCACACACACAGACCTTTACACACACAGACCTTTACACATTTATATCACCACACGTTATTCCACTTGGATTTTTATTACGTTTCATCTTTATGAAGCTCCACGTCCCGAGAATCTGCCCACGACGAGACTCAGGACGAGACCGAGATCAGGATTTAAACAAACAAACAAACAAACAAACAAAGAGTCTGATGTTTGGACAAAAACTGAAGAAACTGAAGTGGAATAAAAATCTGAGTCGTTACGAGAAACAAGATCTTTAAAAACAATAAAAGGTGTTTAAAGCAACGAAGAGCCAAAACATTATGACCACTTTAAAACACGACTGAACCAGGTCTAAACCAAGACTAAACCCTAAACCAGGTCTAAACCAGGTCTAAACCAGGACTAAACCAGGTCTAAACCAGGACTAAACCAGGTCTAAACCAGGACTAAACTAAACCAGGACTAAACCAGGACTAAACCAGGACTAAACCAGGTCTAAACCAGGACTAAACCAGGACTAAACCAGGACTAAACCAGGTCTAAACCAGGACTAAAGGTCAAGGACTAAACCAAGGACTAAACCAAGGTCTAAACCAGGACTAAACCAGGACTAAACCAGGTCTAAACCAAGACTAAACCAAGGACTAAACCAGGACTAAAAGACTAAACCAGGTCTAAACCAGGACTAACTAAACCAGGACTAAACCAAGACTAAACCAGGTCTAAACCCTAACCAAGGACTAAACCAGGTCTAAACCAGGACTAAACCAGGACTAAACCAGGTCTAAACCAGGACTAAACCAGGACTAAACAAGGAACTAAACCAGGTCTAAACCAGGACTAAACCACCAGGACTAAACCAGGACTAAACCAGGACTAAACCAGGTCTAAACCAGGTCTTAAACCAAGACTAAACCAGGTCTAAACCAGGTCTAAACCAGGTCTAAACAAGGACTAAACAAGGACTAAACCAGGACTCTAAAACCAGGACTAAACCAGGACTAAACCAGGACTAAACCAGGTCTAAACCAAGACTAAACCAGGACTAAACCAAGACTAAACCAGGACTAAACCAGGTCTAAACCAGGTCTAAACCAGGACTAAACCAGGACTAAACCAGGACTAAACCAGGTCTAAACCAGGTCTAAACCTAAACCAGGACTAAAACAACCAGGTCTAAACCAGGACTAAACCAGGACTAAACCAGGACTAAACCAGGACTTAAACCAGGTAACCAGGACTAAACCAAAGAACCAGGACTAAACCAGGACTAAACCAGGACTAAACCAGGTCTAAACCAGGTACTAAACCAGGACTAAACCAGGTCTAAACCAGGACTAAAACCAGACTAAACCAGGGACTAAACCAGGACTAAACCAGGTCTAAACCAGGTCTAAACCAGGACTAAACCAGGTCTAAACCAGGTCTAAACCCAGGACTAAAAACTAAACCAGGACTAAACCAGGACTAAAACCAGGTCTAAACCAGACTAAACCAGGACTAAACCAGGACTAAACCAGGACTAAACCTCTAAACCAGGACTAAAAAAACCAGGACTAAACCCAGACTAAACCAGGTCTAAACCAGGTCTAAACCAGGACTAAACCAGGACTAAACCAGGACTAAACCAGGACTAAACCAGGGACTAAACCAGGACTAAACCAGGAGGTCTAAAACCAGTCTAAACCAGGACTAAACCAGACTAAACCAGGACTAAACAAACCTAAACCAGGACTAAACCAGGTCTAAACCAGGTCTAAACCAGGACTAAACCAGGACTAAACCAGGTCTAAACCAGGTCTAAACCAGGACTAAACCAGGACTAAACCAGGTCTAAACCTAAACCAGGACTAAACCTCTAAACCAGGACTAAACCAGGACTAAACCAGAACTAAAACCAACTAAACAGGACTAAACCAGGACTAAACCAGGTCTAAACCAGGACTAAACCAGGACTAAAAACCAGGTCTAAGGACCAGGACTAAACCAGGTCACTAAACCAGGGACTAAACCAGGGACTAAACCAGGACTAAACCAGGACTAAACCAGGACTAAACCAGGAGTCTAAACCAGGTCTAAACCAGGACTAAAACCAGGGACTAAACCACTAAACCAGACTAAACCAGACTAAACCAGGACTAAACCAGGTCTAAACCAAGGACTAAACCAGGACTAAACCAGGACTAAACCAGGTAACTAAACCAGGACTACTAAACCAGGACTACTAACCAGGAACTAAACCCTAAACCAGGACTAAAACCAGGACTAAACCAGGTCTAAACCAGGACTAAACCAGGACTAAACCAGGATCTAAACCAGGACTAAACCAGGACTAAACCAGGACTAAACCAGGTCTAAACCAGGACTAAACCAGGACTAAACAGGCAGGTCTAAAAACTAAACCAGGAACTAAAATAAACCAGGACTAAACCAGGTCTAAACCAGGACTAAACCAGGACTAAAACCGACTAAACCAGGTCTAAACCAGGTCTAAACCAGGAGGACTAAACCAGAGGGACTAACCAGGTCTAAACCAGGTCTAAACCAGGACTAAACCAGGTCTAAACCAGGGACTAAACCAGGACTAAACAGGGACTAAACCAGGTCTAAACCAGGGTCTAAACCAGGACTAAACCAGGACTAAACCAGGACTAAACCAGGTCTAAACAAAAGGACTAAACCAGGACTTAAACCAGGTCTAAAACAGGGACTAAACCAGGACTAAACCAGGACTAAACCAGGTCTAAACCAGGACTAAACCAGTCTAAACCAGACTAAACCAGGACTAAACCCAAGACTAAAACCAGGACTAAACCAGGACCAAGACTAAACCAGACTAAACCAGGACTAAACCAGGACTAAAACTAAACCAGGGACTAAACCACTAAACCACAGGACTAAACCAGGACTAAACCAGGTCTAAAACCTAGGGACTCTAAACCAGGACTAAAAACGTCTAAACCAGGACTAAACCAGTCTAAACCAGGACTAAACCAGGACTAAACCAGGTCTAAACCAGACTAAACCAGGACTAAACCAGGTTCTCTAAACCAGGACTAAACCAGGACTAAACCAGGACTAAACCAGGACTAAACCAGGAACCTCCAGGACTAAACCAGGTCTAAACCAGGACTAAAAACACGAGACTAAACCAGGACTAAACCAGGACTCTAAACCAGGTCTAAACCAGGACTAAAACCAGGACTAAACCAGGACTCTAAACCAGGACTAAACCAGGAACTAAACCAGGTCTAAACCAGGTCTAAACCAGGACTAAACCAAGACTAAACCAGGTCTAACCAGGACTAAACCAGGACTAAACCAGGACTAAACCAGGACTAAACCAAACTAAACCAGGACTAAAACTAAACCAGGACTAAACCAGGACTAAACCAGGTCTAAACCAAGACTAAACCAGGACTAAACCAGGACTAAACCAGGTCTAAACCAGGACTAAACCAGGACTAAACCAGGTCTAAAACCAAAGACTAAACCAGGACTAAACCAGGTCTAAAACCAGAACTAACCAGGGTCTAAACCAGGACTAAACCAAGACTAAACCAGGACTAAACCAGGACTAAACCAGGTCTAAACCAGGACTAAACCAGGACTAAACCAGGACTAAACCAGGACTAAACTAAACCAGGACTAAAACCAGGTCTAAACCAGGACTAAACCAGGACTAAACCAGGTCTAAACCAGGACTAAACCAGGACTAAAACCAAGGACTAAACCAGGTCTAAACCAGGACTAAACCAGGACTAAACCAGGCCAAGTCTAAACCAGTCTAAACCAGGACTAAACCAGGTCTAAACCAGGTCTAAACCAGAACTAAACCAGGACTAAACCTGGTCTAAACCCAGACTAACCAGAACTAAAAGGTTAAATAAACAAAACTAAAAAGGTCTAAAACCAGGAAACAACTCAAGACCAACCCAAAACTAAACCTGGTCTAACCCTGGTAAACCAGAACTAAACCAAACCTGGACTAAAACCAGTCTAAACCAGGACTAAACCAGGACTAAAACCAGGACTAAAACAGGTCCAAAAAAAGGACTAAACAGACCCAAAAAACCCAAAAAAAGACCAACCAACAAAAACCAACCAGGACTAAACCAGGTCTAAACCAGGTCTAAACCCAAGTCTAAACCAGGTCTAACCCAAGACTAAACCAAGACTAAACCAGGACTAAACCAAATCTCTCAGGATCATGTTTAGTTTATGTGCAGGATCTTTTTAATTTTAACATTTATTTGACAAGAAAAACAAGCTTGAAATAAATTACAAAATGGATCAAAACAAGTAAAAAAAATAATAATTATATTAAAGAATTTTAACATTTTAAAGACAATTTTAAAAAAATATTTAAAACTGGATTTATTAAAGAAACGACTTCAGACTCAGAGTTTGTGTAATTTTGACTCTTGTACGTCGTCGAGTTTTTTTTGCAGTGCAGCCGCTCGCAGACGTTAAAGCCGCACTCCGTCACTTTTCTGGAGTCTGCGCTGGAATGTCCCACAGTCTCCTATTTCTCTTTATCTCCATGGAAACGGGTCAGAGCTGCGGAGAGGCGAGCCCACGCACAGCAAAGAGCAAAGATTTCAAGTGATAAAAAAAGTAAAATAATTTTTTTTTTTTAAAAAGCAAGATTGATATTTTTTATGCACTTTGGGACTTTCCAGGTTAAGCTATAATATCACCATGGTAACAAGCAAGAAAAGTGACTCAGCGCAGCTTTAAAGTGAAATAAAAAAGTAAAAAAATAATAAAAAATGCGTGAAATACTTGTGATTTCTTTGGCATGTTTCAGCGTCTTTGGAATTGTACAAGTTTAAGAAAAAAAAAAAACGTAAAACGAAAACCGGGGTCTGAGCGTTTGTACAAATGTGTCGATAAAAAGAATAAAATAAAAGGCGGAGTCAGGCGCCCGCCCCTTTAACCTGCGCCGTCTTAAAGGGGAGGCGACCGTGATGGGGGCGTGTCTGTGTGTGTGTGTGTTTGCCGTAGTAAATAAAGTGAATTAAAGGTGCGCGGAGCTGGTCATGTGACGAGGTCATGTGACGAGGTCATGTGACGAGGTCATGTGACGACGACATGTGACGACGACATGTGACGACGACATGTGACGACGACATGTGACGACGACATGTGACGAGGTCTAAAGCGACATCAGCGGCGGTTTGTTCAGCCCGTCCTCGCTCAGCTCATACCTGAAACACACAACAAACACACACAATTAAACACACAACACACACAATTAAACACACAACAACACACAATTAAACACACAATTAAACACACACACACACACACAACACACAATTAAACACACAACAAACACACACAATTAAACACACAACAAACACACAAAATATAAAACACAAACAACACACACACAACAAAACACACAAAAACGCACAAAATAAAACACACACAATTAAACACACAAACAACGCACAAAATATAAAACACACAAAAAACACACA